TTAAAAAAAAGAATACAAGTGTGAACCTAAATGTTATTTTGTATTCTGGAAACTTTGTTACATGGGTTAAAATACCCCACCCCCACCCCCACCACCCCGTCCCACCCTGCCTTCCTCTCCATGTCACAGTGTCTCTGCCATCAGATGGCAATCAGTTTTCATCCTTTCTCATCTCTTTCTACCTCAGCCCTCTCAGCATCCTCAGCCAGAAGAATCTGCCTATAAATTTCCAAACCAAACACAAGTTTTAAAAATTTTAGTTAATGGGGGAAGAAGATCTCCTTTCTTCCTTTCAGGGGATTTGAAGTCCCTTTCCGTTCAAGTTCACCGTGGGGAGCCTGGGCTGGAGGCCCGCTTCATGGGATCAACGGAAACGTCAGTTGTAACTGTGTGTTAGGGGGACGTAGGAGCCGTGTGGGCTCCGGGGCTCAACTGTGCACACCTGGCCTCATCCCCATGTGGCCGCGGCAGGAAAGGTGGTGAGGCCTGCACCGTGGGGTGGGGCGGGGAGAGGGAAGTAGTGCACCCACCGCGTGGTCTGGAGAGTGGAAATTCTGTCCTCCGTCGCTGGGCGGGTGCCTCGACCCAGAACGCTGGGCGGGAACCACAGCCGCTGTCCCCAGGCCCATCACCGATTATGTTTCTCTGGGTGAGTTCCTTAACCTCCGACTCTCCCTTTCTGTTCAGAAAAACTGGTTAAAAATGCCTTCTTCCGTCTGTCACTTGGATGTGAGTGACATCCAAGTGTGAACCGATTTGAACTCCTTTTGAGCTTTCAAAAAAGACATAAATGTTCACTACATACCAGGCTTTGGACGCTGACATGTGTCTTCCCCATTAAAAAGGCTGGCGCTGTGGTCCAGGGTGGGTGCCTTTTGCACCAGGTATGTCTCTGCCGTCAGCGCCAGCTGCCACCTCCCAGTGTCCTGCCTGGACAGGTTGAGGAGATCAGTGAATTCAGTGCACAGCTGTTACTCATCTCATTTTGAATCTGACCTGTGTTTTGGCAAGGAGGCTGCCGGAAGGTGGAATAAGAGAATGGAAAGCGATAAACAATAAGGTCCTACTGTGTAGTCCAGGGAACTACAATATATTCAGTATCATGTGATAAACCATAATGGAAAAGAATATGAAAAAGAATATATATATGTATAATTGAATCGCTTTGCTGTAAAATTAACACAATATTGTAAATCAACTGTACTTAAATAAAATATATTAAAAAAAAAAAAAGAATGGAAAGGAGCACGGGAGTGGTAAATATCCCTTTGGGAAAAGGTGATCAAGTACAGTTTTCATTCAGGTGTGGAGTGTGTCCCCAGGAGGGATGGGAGGGCAATTTTTCTCTTTGTGTTTGGTAGCTTTTCAAAACTAATTTTCAAGGTCCAGTTTGAAGAGCCTAATCTCTTGGTCCTTTTCTATTGTCTGTCTTGCTTTTCTACAGAGTATTCAGGAGTTGAAAATGACAATGAAACTGAGCCTGTGCCTATGGCCTCTGCAGGTTGCTGGACTTCCTTGCCTACGGTTCACTATTGTGTTTCATTTAAAGACAAGACATCCATTCATTGTGCATTTCGCATGAGACACCCAAGTTGCATTTTGGTCCCAGACACTATTTGAGCTGCTGCTTTGCCTTATGCTACTCCACTGCATCATGGGATTTCCCTTTTCTGCCCATTCTGATCCCAGTTGAAGTGAGAACAAATGACTCATTAATGCAATGTACTAATGGGAATTTTTTCTTTTCCTCATCAAATTTTACCCCATCCCACTGCGTGAGGCGCCCTGCTGAAATCTCACAGGCTAAGTTTGGTTGGGAGGCCACCTCCTGCTTCTCGTGTGTCTGAACCAGGAGACAGGAAAAGACTCGTGGCTAGATATTCTGTCCTGACTGATAATAAGTTTTAAATAATGTTTCTTAGAAATCTCGATCCCTAGTGACGATTTAGTGTCTAACGTCCCTTATCCGGAGTGAGGCATGCTGCTGACAATTGGTCTCTCCTCCTCCTCCAGTGTAAGAACAGGGTTTAGTACCTCCTGGTTTTGGCTCTTTGTTACAGTCTGTCAAGGGCCACCTTCTGGCTTTTTCTTGTAACATCTTCACTCTTCCCAGTTATCCTCAGTAGTAGGAGACAGGCACACTGGGACTCAACAAAATAGCCCGTGTAGGCGGCCTTGATACTAGGCTTTGTGCAGGGTAGGATTTTAGCATTCCTCTTATCTTTCTACTCCTGCCTGTGTACGTTCATCCCCAAGTTTGTGTGTATTCCCCGAGTGTGCTCAGTTAGAAAAAGCAGCCCAGGGGAATTACCTGGCGGTCCAATGGTTAGGACTTGGCGCTTTCAGTGCAGGGACCGGGGTTTGATCCCTGGTCGCGGTGCAGCCAAAAAAAAAGAAAAGAAAAAAAAAAAGAAACCCAGCGCCGGATCCAGGCAGTGGTTGAAGAGGCTGGCGCTGGTAGGACATCACTTGTGTACCATGATGACGGGTGCAGCGAGGGCCACCCTTACCAGGAAGTGGCCGCATGTGTGGGGACACTCACGGGACCTCTTGGCTTCTGGGCTTCTGGGGAGGGACCCCCAGCTCCTCTCTTCTCCGGGCCACGTGCATGTCCATAAACCATTTAATTTCCTCATTGTGCTTCCATGTCGATTGCAAGGCTAACAGGATCTGGTAGGAACTAACCCGCATGTCCACCCATCAGGCTGCCACCACCGGTAACATCACATTGAAAAGTGAAGCAGGAGGCCCTGGGCTGCACTTACAACTTCTGCTTTTCCACCCCCGTGTTCTGCAGGTGGTGACCTGCACATGACTCAGTTTTTCCGAGGTAATCTGGCTGGCCTGACGATCCGTTCCGGGAAGCTCACAGATAAAAAAGTGATTGACTGTCTGTATACCTGTAAAGAGGGGCTAGACCTGCACATCCCCGAAGACAGCGGCAGCGGTGTCAAGGTAACACCAGCACCCACCTGCATGGCACCCACGACTTCCTCAAGCACAAGTGCGGAGGCTCTTGGCATAAGGATTGATCGATGATTGGCCCTGAGCTGCTTTTACTCACAGCATCTCCGACACTACACGTGTGGGGTGTCTTTCACACACCAGTTCTCCAGCTCCTGGACCCCGACTCCCCAGGCGTCCTGTAATCCAGTTCAGTCCTGACGCTAACTGGGCACCAGGCCCCACTGCCCCCCACATGCCTGCTCCTCTGGTGCCAGCTGCAAGGATCTGGGCCTCTGGTACCCACACTTGGCTGAAAAAAGTCGAGGGTTCCCACAATCCCTCGCCCTTTTCAGGTTCAATAATTTGCTAGAACTGCTCAGAAAACAGTTCACTTACTATTACTGGTTTATTATGAAGGATACAACTCAGGAACAAGCAGGTGGAAGGGAGGCCCAGGGCCAGGAGTGGAGGAGGGTGCACGGGCCTTCCACGCCCCCTCCAGGTGCACCACCCTCCCGGCACCTCGCTGTGTCCACCAGCCCAGAAGCTCTCCAGACCCTGTCGTTGAGAAGTTTTTGTGGAGGGTCTGTTATGTAGGTATGATTGACCAGATCATTGACGACTGTTGATTAATTAACTCAATCTCCAGTCTCTGTCCCCTCCCCAGAGTTTAGAGGTGAGGCTGAAGGTCCAATGTAATCACGTGGTTGGTTTCTTTGGCAACCAGTCCGCATCCAAGAGTCACCTCATTAAGGTAAATTCTGGGGGTGGCTGAAAGGGGCTTATTAGGAATAAAAAAAGATGCCCCTATCCGTCAGGAAATTCCAAAAGTTTTAGGAGCTCTGTGCCAGAAACCTGGGACAAAGACCAAATATATATTTATTATATCACAGATCTGTCTGTGCCTTAGATATTTACCATCATATAATAGGGTCACAGTCACTGGAATTATGTGAGCTTTTCTTCTCCAAGTCACCAATTCAAATCAGTCCCAAGCTAATCCTCTTTGTTGAAGTGTTTGTGGTTTCAGCTTCTTGCCGTTAGAACCTTATTCTGTTCCTGTCTCTCTGTTTTGGTGCCATTTCAGATCCAAGCCAGCCCCAGTCAGTCAGTGTTGACCTTGGAGGGAGAGGATGTAGCGGAGTTGGATAAGGCCATGCACCACATTTCCTACCTGAATTCACGACAGTTCCCCACACCTGGGATCCGAAGACTCAAAATCACCAGCGTGGTCAAGTATGTCCTGGCTTTTAACAATAAACCTGTCTTTGCTCAGTGACCCTTGAGGAGAAAATGTGTGTATTTAGGTTTTTAAGTCAACCCAGCCTCCCTTCTGTAAGGAAAGGTGATCTGTCCCTCGTTACCAGAAAGTTTAAGTGATGTTTGGAAGCACATTCTGGGAGTGGCCGGCGTCTTGTCCGCTAGGTGGTTGTGGAATCCTGTGGTCCACCTCCGAGCGCCTTTGTCTGTGTGGCTTGAGAAGCCGCCTCTTAAGGCCCTGACCCTTCCATCCCCTTCCTTGTTGGCAGGTGTTTTAACGAGGCCACCTGCCTCTCAGTCCCCGTGTTGGATGGCTACGTGATGGTTTTGCAGCCGGAAGAGCCCAAGATCAGTCTGAGTGGCATCCACCATTTTGCTCGAGCGGCTTCCGAATTTGAAAGTTCGGAGGGGGTTTTCCTTTTCCCCGAGCTTCGGATCATTAGCACCATCACGAGAGAGGTGGAGCCCGAAGGAGAAGGGGACGAGGACCCCACAGGTGACAGCCTAGACCAGTCGCCCAAAAGTGGGCGGCTGAAACCCCACTGCTGCTACTTATTTCTTGGCCCTTTTCCTCTGTGATTTTGTAGACTTGAATGTTTTAATGCTGTTCTTGGGCCTGCTTCTGGAATCTGACCCGTGGGCTAGAGCTCATTATGATCTTTGGAAACCCACCTAGAGGGTCCTTTCATCTTTTTTCCAGCTTGACGTCAGTATCTGGGATGGCTCTTGTGGGTTGAGAGGGCAGGGGTTGCTGCTGTAGGGGTGCTCCTGCTGGCTGGCCCCCCATTCTCGGGCCTTCCTGGTGGCCAGTCCTCCTAGACACATAAAGCACCCCCAATTCTTGAAAATGACTGTCCTGTACCTCCATCCGTGGTCCCTAAAAGGCCTCTGTGAGTTGGAGGATGAGCAGACAGGCTGTCGCTGTGAGCACCTCCCTGGGCTCCACAGCCTCTGCTATTTCCGGTTGGGTCATTTTTGCAGTTCAAGAGTCACTGGTGTCAGAGGAGATTGTCCACGACCTAGACACCTGCGAGGTCACGGTGGAGGGAGAGGAACTGAACCGAGAGCAGGAGAGCCTAGAAGTGGACACGGCCCGCCTGCAGCAGAAGGGCATCGAAGTGAGCAGCTCTGACCTGGGTGTGGTCTTCACAGGTGAGAGGCCAGACCCCAGACTGGGAGAGTGAAGGCTCAGAGCTCAGCGCCCACCTCCTCCCAGCTCAGCAGCTGGAGACAGTCCTGGAGGAGGTGGGAAAGGATGAGTGGTGGCCACGCACCTTCTCCCAGACGGGAAGGGGAGCACAGCTCTGCCTGGTGTCCAGTCCTCATAACGGGTGGAAGTTTGGGCGTGTGTGGTACCTGCCCCTCAGCAGGGGACGACGCCCCCGCAGTTGGCAAGCCAGACGCGCGGCCGGGTGGCTCTGGGGCCCGCCTGCGGCCTGCCTTCGCCCTCGGCCTGTGTCCCTAAGCTCAGCCACTGCTGTCTTCCCCGCAGGTGTCGACACCATGGCTAGCTACGAGGAGGTCTTGCACCTCCTGCGCTATCGGAACTGGCACACCAGGTCCTTGCTTGACCGGAAGTTCAAGCTCGTCTGCTCCGAGCTGAATGGTCGCTACGTCAGCAACGAGTTCCAGGTGGAGGTGGGTGCTGGGCTGTGCTGAGCAAGGCAGCAGCGTGGTGACCGGGTGCCTGGCTCACGGCCCTGATGTTTGCCAATGCCGATTTTTAGAGCATTCGTGTTTAGGTTCATCCTGGGGTGGGTTGCCTTTCCCAGCCGGGGGGCTGCTCCCCATTAGACCTGCAGAGGTTTGGGGGGACAGGTTATACACGGGGTGGGCTGGGGCCCAGCATGGTGCCCCCCCTTCACAGGCTGCCTTAGCCTGAGAGTCAGAGGGGCCTCTGGAGGGAGGTGGTCAGGACCGAGTGGCGGTCCGTGCCTCGGGCTGAGGGGCAAGGTTGTTTCTTGAGATTTGACACTGCTTTCACCGGGGGAGCCGGGGCTTTGCAGATGGCTGGCCCTGCCGTGAATAGATCCTTGGCGCAGGGCGAGGGTTGCTGCCGGCACCGGCAGGGCTGCTGTCCACTGAACATGGTCGTGGGGACTTAGGCCGCAATGGCCAGAGGGCACTCGTCCTGCTGGGACACCTTTCGTATCACTCGGAGCTTCTGTGCCCTGGAGAAATGGACCCAAAGTTACTCTCAGCAATTGAACGCCTCCGTTGTGACCCCGTAGCAGCAGAATTAAACTCACAGGGCTGAAGAGCCCATGAGTGTTTTCTTTGAGCCAAAGGGTAGCAGATTTGAAAGGAACTAAAGGCTCTGATTTGTGCTCTCTTTCACGTGGCTGTAGCTTTGGGAAAAGAGGGGCAATGTGGTGTGCCCGGGCTTCTCGAACCACCCGTGGTGAAGGGCCAGTGGTGGTGCTGTGTCTTCTCCAGTCTGTGGTGGATGAATTATTTTATTAGATACAATAAAAGTGAGCTATTCCAACAGCAGAATGTTCTTGGCTGTGTGACAGCATCACATGGTCACAGCAGCCTCCCTGGCCGCTTCTGTTCTTCTCTCTGCCCGCCAGCACCGGTCCAGGGCCCACTTCGGTGGTGCTGGTCAAGTGCATGTCCACTCCATCCGCAGACACATTCAGGCTGCCCTTGTGTCTCCGCTGCAGGTAAACGTCATCCACACGGCCAACCCCGTGGAGCACGCCAGCCACATGGCCGCGCAGCCGCAGTTCGTGCACCCCGAGCACCGCTCCTTCATTGACCTCTCAGGTCACAACCTGGCCAACCCCCACCCGTTCGCAGGTAGGCCTGGGACGCCCCTCCCCGACTCCTGCCGTGAGCTCAGCCCCCCTCTTCCCCCACCGCCGCTCGGAACAGCCACCAGCGGCCTGGCTGTTATTCCACGTCACACGAGGAAACCGGAGCACGGACGGGGCGGTGGGGGCCCGAACCCAGACTTGAACCCGTGCTGAGCCTTTTCTCGGAGCTCCTCCCGTTCTCTGGGGGGCGGACGGAGCAAGCAGTGGAGGCCGAGGGCACACGGCGGGTCGGGTCGGGTCTCGTCCTCACAGCCGTCCTGTTTCCTCTCCCCCGCAGTCGTCCCCAGCACCGCAACCGTCGTCATCGTGGTGTGCGTCAGCTTCCTGGTTTTCATGATCATCCTGGGAGTGTTCCGGATCCGGGCTGCTCACCAGAGGACCATGCGGGACCAGGACAGCGGCAAAGAGAACGAGATGGATTGGGACGACTCTGCCCTGACCATCACCGTGAACCCCATGGAGGTAGGCGAGGGCGGTGACGCCCCGACTGAGAACCCCTGCAGGCCAGGGCCCCAGGGAGGCTCAACTCACCTTCAAGCTCACATGCTTTGCGTGGTCCGCACCATGACCTCGCGTGGGCAAACTGAGGCCTGGGGGGGCCTGCTTTAGGGTCACGGTCCGGCTGTGGCTGGTGCCCGGAGCTGTGCTTCCCTTCGTCTTTGGTGAGGAGCCTAGTCCAGCCCCTCTTGCTGGGTCGTGGGATGTGGCTTCCAGCCGGTGGACAAACCCTGGGTCACCAGCTGGGGCGGGGGAGGGGCTGGATTCATCGCCTGGTCGCCGTGTCTCTCTGTCAGACATACGAGGACCAGCACAGCAGCGAGGAGGAGGAGGAGGAGGAGGAGGAGGAGGAGAGCGAGGCCGGGGACGAGGAGGATGACATCACCAGCGCCGAGTCGGAGAGCAGCGAGGAGGAGGGGGTGGAGCCCGGCGACCGGCAGACTGCGAGCCGGCAGCAGCAGCTGGAGTGGGACGACTCCACCCTCAGCTACTGAGCTGCGGCCGTGCCCGCCCGCCGTCGCCTTCTTTCCTGCTTCAGGAGGCTCTGCTGTCATCCCTGTGCCCACCCCAAGGGTCCACGATGTACAGAGTCATCCTGGCCAGTAGGTCTGCAGAGCCTCCTCGTCGCCGATCTCCGCCCACGCTTGGTGTATAGGACCATAGGCTCCCCCTTGCTCCCTCCCTTCGTCCGCCCTGCTCGCTCTTAAGTTATGTGAGGAGCTGACGCTCGCTCTGTGGCTGATGTCAACTCCAGCAAAGCTGCAGTGACTGGACTCCTTGACAAAGGGTTAGAGTTGCTCGCTCCTACCTGGTAGTCCTCTTCTTTTTTTTTTTTTTAAAAAAAAGTTTTTATTTTTTCCAAACTAGTGCATGTATAAAATGGCAGAATGGGGTTAATATGTAGATGATGAACTGACTTTTTAATATTTTGTAAATAAATTGGGATTCCTCGTGTCTTTTGTGCTAGCATAATCCGGGACTGGATGCAAAGTGGAGCGGAGACACTGAGCGTGGGAGGGGAGGGACCGGAGACCCTGCCCATCCCACCCCGCCCCCCACCCCGCCCCAAGATGAGGAGAAAGGAGCACAGACATTGATCTGCTGCCCGGCAGGAGGGGACCGGATCAGGGACCCCTCTTTGGAGGCTGGAAACGGCCAGGTCTTTTCTTTGGGATTCTACCCATTGAGGGCTGCGGGGAGCTGGGGTCCCTGGCCATGTTTGCTCCCTTCTCCAAGGACTGGCATTTCCTCATGCAGGAACCTGGACTCAGGTGCAGCCTTGGGGTCCATACTGAATAGATGCAGGTTTCCTTGCTGGTGAGAGTATGTTTCGATCATGTGGATGGTGCAGACCCTCTGACCACTTGGTCTGGAGACAGCAACAGGCCTGGGGGATCCGTACTCAGAACCTGGCGGAAATGACGCCCAATGGCCTGAAGGCAGTGCTCGATTCCCCGAGCACCTGCGCCCCTCCTCCCCAGAGCCCCCGGGGGGGTGAAACCCATGCCCAGTAGGTGGTGAAGGGAGAGAACCGCAGTCAGGAGCGAAAACCCCTACAGCACGTGGTTTTTAATTTACGTGTAAATTTTTAGATTTCTAAAACTGGGGGAAAATAATTTTGAACACTTCTGTGATCATAACTGCTCGTTTCGAGGACACTGCCAGCTGTCCTGTGTCGTGTGTGGCCACCCCTCCATGTACTGTCACCGTCGCTGCTCTGTTTAGACCGTGGATAGACACTAAGGCGTAGACGGGACCCTCCGCGCTGTCTGTAGCCGCCGTGGTATCACTTTTCAGATGTGTATATTGATGACAGGTCAGAAAGTGTATACATACAATAAAGTCTGTTCTAACTCCAGTGGGAGAGCGGTTTGTTTTTGGTCTTGTTTTCATTTTAATCCTGCGTCCTCTTGTTTCTTTCTGAGCCAAGAACATAACATACCAAGGATTTTATTTCTTTTAATCTGTTTTTACCTCTCATTTCAATGTTTCAGACTGTTGAACCTACATCAGTTACGCTGAACTCACCTTCCCCATACAGAAACATCAAATGATTTAAAAAAAATAGAAAATACTCTTCTCGTCAGGCACACAGGCCATGCACCCAACCGGCTATTGCTGTGTATATGCAGTGTGCTGCCCACACCACGAAGCACAGACTCGTCCAAATAAATAACAAGTAGACGTACACTCGGCTTTTCCTATTTCCAAACAGGTGGATGGGTCTGAGGAATTCAGCACTTAGTTGGGAACCAGAGTCTGGTCAGTGGGGCTCTGTGGGTGGCATGGATTGCTATGGGCAGTGCCTCTCGGCCACCTCTCGTGAACCAAGAAACAGAGTTGGCACCTGGACTCACTCTTCTGGAAGCCGTGCACCGGGGCTGCTGACAGGGCAGCTACTTCTGGCTCTGCTGAGCCGTGCAAAGCCTTTTGAGAGGTAAGTGGTGTCGCCCCTGCGGGTCCCGAGTCGGCTGCTAATACATGAAGCTCACCTGTGGGCTTCCAGAAGCCCAGGTTCTTAGCCCCATCTCCAGAGTTGGCTCCAGAAGGCTGAGGGGGGCCTGGGAACCTGCATTTATCGAGCTCCTCAGATGCACCTAAGGCTGAGCCTGAATCATTTCCAGCTAAGTACCGTCAGAGGACAAGATGCCACCACACCCCTAACTCTCAAGCTTCTGCTGCCTGGGTACTGGGAGCAGGTTCTCAAAGGTGAGCGTTCTGGAGAGGAGATCAGGTCTTTCATGACCTAAAACCTGCTTTAGGAGGAGGGAGGTTGCATACAATTGCACAAAGTACTCGCACCTGCTTGTGTCTTGATCCATGACCAGGATGAGCTAAATCAAGCTCAGGCCTTTTTAATGTGTCTCGACCAGCGTGCGCTATATGTGATGGGCGCTGGGGCTTTTCTCCCAAGCCGTAGAGGTTCAGTAAAGTAGTTTGGCTATTTTTTTTCTCACCCGCAAACAAAATCACTTTACAGCAGAGAAGAATTCCCGTACCCAGGAGTCGCTTTAAAAGTGGAAAGCAGGGCTTCCCTAGTGGTGCAGTGGTTGAGAGTCCGCCTGCCGATGCAGGGGACGCGGGTTCGTGCCCCGGTCCGGGAGGATCCCACATGCCGCGGAGCGGCTGGGCCCGTGAGCCATGGCCGCTGAGCCTGCGCGTCCGGAGCCTGTGCTCCGCAACGGGAGAGGCCACAACAGTGAGAGGCCCGCGTACCGCAAAAAAAAAAAAAAAAAAAAGTGGAAAGCAATCATCCCTGAATCTAGAGGGTACCCAGGCCTCCTCTGGGGGCTGCCCAGAACTCAGTCAGTGGAGGGCACGCAGGTGGAGGGGGTGAACAGGCGTGGGTGCCCTGTCTGGACAGCAGGTACCGGGTCACTGCCAGGCACCAAGACCGGTGTAGCACGGCAGGAGCCTGGGGAGGAGGCAGCTCCCGGACGGGAGAATCATCTCTGCCGGCTCCAGACCCACCAGCTGGAAGACTTGAGGTCACAGATCCTCGGCGAGATGCGGCCTCGAGGTGCCGGGTTCACAGTGTCTTCCCATCAAAGCCCAGGGCTTGGATGGGGAAGTGGGAGGACGGTGCCCCTCCCCACATTAGGGTACATTTCCATGTATGGCTGTTTAGTTCCCGAAACATTTCAAGTCATAAATAAATAACCAGTGTAAACAAAAGGCAGTTGTGTAGGTTCTTTCCCAAGGATGCCGTCCAGCCTTTCAGGTCCCGGAGGGTGGCCGAGGATGCCCGGCTCCCAAGACTGGCAGCTCGGTTGTCTCCAGGCCCAGGGCTTGGACGGGCTGCTATTGCCTGTTATCTTTGGACACGTTGTGGGCCAGCCAGTTCACTTTGGTTTTCCAGCTCTCCCGGAGGGCTTCGTTAAACTTCACCCGGAAGTGCTTTAGAGCCTCCTCCTCCGTCTTCCCCAATGCCAGAGAATCCTGAGGTAAGATGGAAGCAATGGGCGTCCCACGGAGGGGCCTGGGCCCTGCTCAGCAGGGAGCCCCGTCTCCCTGCACCTCCACCCTCTCTGGGCAGGTAACGCTCCCTCCTAAGAGAACTGCACCAAGGGAGCCAGGAGGGCGCCACCCAGCACCTCCCCCGGGAAGAGCTCTTCGTTCCGACCCCAACCAAGGCGGCCCCCGCCCCGCCCCATCCTCAAAATAAGATGCCAACTTGAGCCCGGAGGTCTTGGCCCCGAAGGCAGGCGGCTTGGCCTTCTCCACTGGAAGCTGGCAAGAGGAAGAAGGGAGGGAGCAGCTTCTTCCTAGGAACTCGGGGGCCATGGCCCCCCCCACCTCAGTCCCCGCCCCAGCGTCTCATAAACTGAAAAGACGCAGGAAGGAAAGACAGTTTTTAACCATGGAGGGAACCCTCTTGTACAAGTGGAAACGCCCACAGCCTGTGGAGGACAGGAGGGTGGGCCAGAGCCGGTGGCTTCCTGCCAGACCTGGGTCCCAGGCCGGTGTGAGCACACACGAGTCAGGAGGGCCCTGTGGGTCCACCACGCTCGGGGGTTGGGGGGTGGTGCCTCGAGGAGTCCGGGGCTCCCTGGTCTCCTGCCTGGCGGGGCCCTGCCCTGGCGTTTACCTTGAGGTACTGGATGTCTTTGGAGCAGCTGAGCTCAGGCAGGCCTGCCGCCCGCATGAGAGCAAAGAGGTGGAGAAAGAGCAGCCCGTGGCGCCGCAGGATGGTGTAGGCCCTTTCACAGTAGCCCCGGAACCTGTAGTGGGAGGTCAGGGAGCGGGCCGTGGGTCCTCCCGTCCCCCTGCACCCCAGCCAGCCGGCCAGCCCGCCCTCACCCTGGAAGGAGCCGTGCCCACAGAGCCCCAGCGTCCTCTGACTGACCGCCCCTGGCACCAAGGAGCATCTCGGGGGTCTGAGGCACCCTCACCTTTCAAATTTCTCACTATTATTCGTCTTCCCCTGCTGGATCACGTGCACAAAGTCATAGGTGAGGATGAATGGGACTCGCTCACGGTTGATTCCAAACTTGGTCTTGAAATTCCCCAGAAAGTGGCCGAAATCAATGTGGAACAGCTGAGGGGAGGGAAGAGCAAAGACCCAAAAGGAGTCAAAAAGGAGGGTGCCTCACCCAGAGGAGCCTGGGGAGGGAGAGGGAGCTGGAAGGGCTTGGATAGGGGGCTCTGCCAGCAGCCGTGTGCAGAGCAGAATGGCCAGCGGGCCAGCACCGGGCGGCAGGCACCATGCTCATGGCAGCCCCACACCACCCCTACCTGCCCGTTCTCTCGGATCATGATGTTGTCGCTGTGCCGATCGCCGATGCCCAGCACGTATGTGGCCACACAGTAGCCAGCGCAGGAGAGGGTGAACTCCTCAATGGCTCGATCCAGGGCCTCCCTGGGGGGCAGGGATGGAAACCACGGCCACACCATTTTGCACCTTCTTCTACCAAGAGGTGGTGTCTATGTCCCCTGCCCTTGAATCTGGCCTTGTGACTTGCTTGGACCAACAGAACATGGAGGAAGTGATGCTGGGCACCTTCCAGAGCCTGGGCCTCAAGACACCTTGCAGTTCCTGAACCTCCCCTACTGTCATGGAAGGAAGCTGAGGCTAGAATGAGAGGCCACATGGAGAGAAGCCTCAGACGTGCAATCCTCCAGGCCCAGTCAAACTACCAGATGAGAGCGGTTGTGTGAGCGATTAAAGCAGAAGAACCACTCAGCTGAGCCAGCTCAAGTTGCAGATTTATGATTTAGGCCCCTAAGTTCGGGGTGGTTGTTATGCGGCAATAACTAACTGATACATGTGGGAACAGAGACCTGACCCACTCCCCCACCCCCCCACCCCACAGCATCTATGGGATGGCCCTCAGCTGAGCCAAGAAGCCACAGAGACAGTCAAAGTCCCTCCTCCTTGCCTTTGATTCCCGAGGTCTGCCTCTTGGGAAGGAGAGGGCATCTGTCCCTTGGGCCTGAAACCTACCCAGGGTTCTTGGACTTGAGCCAGTTGAGCAGAGCATCCTTGTTGAAGGCAGCCGTGGCCGCCATGTTGCTCTTGTTCAGCTGGATGTTGGCGATGGTGTCTGAGTGAAGCACCACCTCGATGAGGCCTGTGTGGTCCCCGGTGGAGAGGCAGCCGTAAGGGGTCATCCTAGCCAGGTGGGAGGAGGGGCAGGTGGACACAGTGGTCAAGGGCTGTCCCAGGGGCTTCTTGACCCCGAGGAGCTTAACCCAAAAAGGCTGCAGGAGATGCTACTCAAGTTGCTGAAAAGAGGAGGCAGGTACTAGGGGCGAGCCCTTGACTCCCAGGGCTCCAGGGAAGGTTCCTTGGAGAGGTCACACCAGCACCCAGGATGCAGAGAGGAAGAGTCGGCACCTTGGCTGAACTCATGTTTGCTCAGAAAGAAAAATCCAGGTGGCTTGGAAGATGATGGGGCAGGAAGCCAGGGATGCTTGAGGGAAAGGGACCAATGGAGGGAGACAGTGCAAAGGGCCAGGGCTGGCCTTCTCCACCCTCATCCTGCGGCCCTATCGCCTCCCTGACCCCGAGTTTCAAACTGGTCCCTGCTCTTCTTAGAAGAGCCAGTCTTTTTTCCAGCTGAGGTGGTAATGTCAGCTTTGACAGGGGACCCCTCCAACGGGGTATGGTCCTAGGCCTGGTGCAGGCACAAGTGGATGACGGGAGGGCCTCTCACCTCAGGTCCAAGCCCTCCTGCTTCCACAGAACGTCCATCAGCTGGATCATCTGCAGGGTCAGCATGTCCTGGCGGAGGTCTGTGCAGCCGCCCCCGGGGAGGAAAGGCATGAGTTTCTGGTGGGTTCTCCAATCCCAGCCATGCCCAGGCCCCGGAGCCCCAAGACTCTGTGTTTTCGTCAGCTCGCCCTCCAGGAGATCTGCCCCTGGCCCCCACTGCAAGGTGCCCCCGCCGAGGGTAGTATGGCAGGGCGAGGGGAAGCCAAGGCCTCAGCGGGTCCCTGCCCGGGGCCCGGCCTGCTCACCGTCCCCATTCTTAAAGATGATGCCCACGGTGCCATCGCTGCCCGCCTCCTCATTGCTGTACATGACCCACAGGGGCTTCATCTTGGAGTCCATGAAGGTGCACTGCTCCACGCTGCCGGACCAGACAGCAGTCAGCACCGGGCCCTCCTCAGGGCCTGGGGGGAGGGGAGGAGGTGGGGAGGCCCCGGCTGGGGCCTGGGGCTCACCAGACTTCAGCCAGCAGGGTGCTGGGGTCGAGTGGGGACTGCAGGTGGGAGAGGGCCTCCAGGTAGGTCTCCTGGCGCATGCACAGGTGCATCAGCTCCTTGGTCTGGGGCTTGGTGGTCTTCTGGGAGCTCACTTTGACGACGTCGTTCAGGGCTTTCAGCTTGCTCAGCGCTTCCCCCTGGCCAGGAGGATGGGAGGGCAGCATGGGCAGGCTGGGAGGGGCAGGCTCCAAGCCTCGGCCTGGCCCACGCGGTTCTACAGGGGCCGGGGCAACTCTGCCCCAAAGCAGAGCCCAGGCAGGGGTGCGGGAGCCCCGAGCCTCACCTGTTTCATCAGCACCTTCATGTGATGGGTGCTGCCCCTGCAGTAGGCCTCCATGATGAGGCCAAAGCGCAGGGCCACCGAGGGCACGTGCATCTCGGAGCTGGAGAGAGGAAGAAGGGGCTGAGCCTCGCCTCGCCAGGCGGGGCCACACAGCCCCTCCCAGCCCCGCAGGACCCAGCCACCGAGGACACCCGGGCTGGCCGGCGGAGACGCAAGGCCCGCAGGCAAGAGGCCCCTCCTCCCCGTGGCCTTCCAGGTGAGTCCAGCTACCGCAGGTGCCAGAAGAGGAAGTGGCCGATCTTGCGATTGGCCAGGGCCCGGTCCAGCAGGAATTTGGTCAGCTCGCAGTCGAGGTAGGACTCGTACTTGAGCACCTGCACCAGCTGCAGCAGGTACTGGAAAAGCTCGTCGTCCCTGCAGAGAAGGGGGGCGGCTGGGCCCGGAGCTGCACGGCTCGGGAGAGGGTCTGCAGCTGGCGAGGGGGCAGGGTAGGGGCGGGAGGCCAGCCTCACCTGAGCAGGCCCCCAGGGGAGAGTCCCCAGCCAGCGGCTAGACCCGGGCCATTGGGGCAAAGCCGCCCTCTGAAGATGAGGAAGCCCGCGGGACTCACGTCAGTTTCCGCAGGGACTTGATGGCAAAGGAGCCCACGTGGCGGTCAGGGAAGCTGAAGTCCAGCAGCTCCAGGGCGCTCAGGACGGGCAGCTCGGGCCAGGAGCACAGCAGGTAGAGCATCTGGGGGGTGCCGGTGGTCAGGGCAGGGGGCGCAGGCTGCGGTCTGGCTCCAGACTCTGCCCCCTCCCCCGGCCCCGGCCCTGCCGCCCACCTGGGCCACGTCCTCGTGCTTGTTCCACTTGGTGACCAGCAGCAAGCGGGCCAGCGCCTCGGGGAAGTGCTCCTGGATCTCGTGCCGCATCTTCCACACCAGGTCCTTCTCGTGCTCGTACAGCTCCCCGGAGCCCCGGCGCTCCAGGATCTCCCGCAGCTGTAGCTGCTGAGGGGCACAGGGGCGGTGAGGGCTGCAGCCAGGTCCACGCCCCACCGCCCGCGGCCCCCAGCTCACCTCCTCCTCCGTGAAGCGCCCGTGCTCCCCATGCCGCCCCAGCTCTAGGATCTGCAAGAGCGACCCTGCTGTCAGCGGCAACCCCGGGGCCTGCGCCAGCCTGGCCGGGGGTGGGGGTGGGGGGCCCGGGGCGGGCGTCAACACCTTGGCACTGCTGACTTTGTGTGCCAATGACTCTCAGTGGTGGGGACTCTCCCGCGTGCTGTAGGGCGTTTAGCAGCATCCCTGACCTCCGCCCATGAGATGCCAGGTGCATCTCTCCCACTGGTTGTGACAACCAAAAATGCCTTTGGACATTGCCCAAAGTCCCCTGGGGGGCAAAGCGGCCCCCGGTTGAGAATCACTGCTCTAGGACACATGAGGAGTCCAGGGAGTCAAGGAAGCCCCCAAGCGTGTGTGGGCACCCAGCTCCCAGCCCGGGCAACTCACGGGGTGCAGGGACCATGTCCTGGGGAGCCCCAGAGGCAGGGTCAGGACAGTTAACCTTTAGCTTCGAGGTTTCTGGGCAGGGTGGGTCCTGGACCCCAAATGGCGAGGGCCCCCTCACTGACCTTGTCCAGGGCAGGGTAGTATATAGGGTGGGGGGCCACCTCAGGGAGAAAGATGACCAGGGCGGCTGCGCTCTCAGTGTTGGGGTTACTCCGCACGGTCCCACAGGGGTTCAGTAGCTCCCCTTTCTCGTCTGGATACAAGGACAGATGGGAGTTGCAAGGGGGATGTCATCACGTGTGGGACCCACCTCCCCAATCCCCTGGCCTCTGCCTCTCCCTCCTGGCCTGGGCCAACCTGGGACGGAGGGCCACATGTAGAGGCAGCGCTCGCCGGTCTTGAGCTGGTTCTTGTAATCAAACAGCATGAGGTTGGCCCAGGCGATGGGGCAGTCCTGGGAGAGAAACCGGGCAGGTCACAGCCAGCCACCAGAAAGCCTCCGTTTGCTCATCTGCAGGATGGGCCCAGCCAGACCACGCTTCCCACCCTTGCCCAGACTCCCTTCGAAGCAGCTAGCAGAGTCAGTCACCCCTCGACTCCCTTCTGCTCCCGGATGCATCCCACTCTCGGCTTCTTGAGAAAGCCTCAAACAAACCACATAGGCCCTAGGGAGCTGGCCCAGCTCAGCTACGAGTGAGTCAGGGTGGCTCGGTGGTCAGTCACATCCTGGGCCCCGTGACTCAGTGCTCGACCACCACTCTGTCTCCAACTGGCTGCTGACTCAGGCCACCCCGCTCCCTGCAAGGACACTGCATTTGTCCTTCCAGGGCAGGGAGCTCCCTCCAGGTTCCCACAAGGACCAAAGGCCCAGGTATTCCGAGTCACTGTGCTCATAAGCCCGGGAACGCAGCACCATCACATGGCAGGCAGGGGTGGGGCTAGCGTGCGCGCGTGTGTGTGTGTGTGTGTGTGTGTGTGCGCACGCACGGTGTGGAGAGGCCGGGGTTCACAGGCCCTCCTGGACCCCATCCCCAGGCTGCGTGCCAGCTGGGATGCTGGGAACGGGATGAGCAGTGGCCCCGGGGCGGGCTCCGGGACTGGACTGGGCGCATCACGGAGCGCCTCCCGACCGGCCCCACCCACCGCCTTCTTGGACTTCTTCTTGGTGGAGCGAGCCTTCTTGGCCTTCTCGATCACGGCGTAGAGCGCGAAGCAGAGGCGGGCCATGCGCGGTAGGTCGCCGATGCTGATGTCGAACTCCAGCCGCTGCTTCCACACAGGCTCTGAGCACACGCTCACCTCCGAGCTGGACACCGTCTTGCACAGCGTCTCGTTGCCATGGAAGAGGCCGGCCTGCACCACCAGCTGGGGAAGGCGCGGTGCGGGTGGCAGGCGGCAGAGGCCCAGCCTCCCTCTCCCGCCCGGGTGTCCCTCCCACCTAAGGCTCGAATCTCCTCCTGAAAGGTCCTCATTTCACGTGGGTCTGAACCCTCCCCCGCCAGGTGCTTGAAGGTGGTCCGGAAAAGGGAGGGCTGGCTGCCTGAGGGGGAGGTGTGGTCCTGGGGGGAAGGGGAGGGCGGCGTGGGCTGTGCTCCCCACTGACTGTGGGACCCTGGGGCGTGTTGGCTCCCTGCCCTGGGCCTCAGTTTCCCCATCAGGGCTCGGGAACTCCAGGGGCCCTTCTAGCTTAAGCACCCAAGGGTGCCCCCGCTGCTCAGAATGGCATGAGCCCCTGTAGGCAGGGAAGGACTTAATGCCGCCTGCACATCTCGCCCTGCCTCCTCATGGCCTGGCCAGAAAGCTGCCCCATGCAGCCCTCCAGGATTCATCCATGGGAGCCCACGCCTGACCTGCTTGTGAAATTACCCCAACCAAAAAGTGCTCCCCAAAGAGCCCCGACATCCTTGGACCCGGGTTTCCCGTCCTGCAAATGGGACGAGAAAACCTGCACCTCACAGGGCCGTCCTGAGGCCAGAGGAGGTGGGTGTGTGAACGACCCAGGGGTGGCCGTGGCCTTGGCCCCGGCCCAGCTGGAGCGGCTCCCCTTCTGCGCCTGTCACCTCCCAGGCTCTGCGGTTCCTCTATCCCTGGGCTGGGCCTGGCCCCACTACCTCCACCAAAGTCAATACCCAGAACTCGCTGGGCCCGGTTTCTCCGAATTGTCCTCTCTGGCCGGCTGGCCTGCTCCCCTCCCCCCTTCCTGTTTTGAAGCAGCTCATCACCATCCCCGGCAGGGATGCTGGGTAATGTGGTCAGGTGGCTTTCGTGTGACACCCCCCCTCCTTCTTCCTCCGCCACCCATCCAGGCCACAGCCACCGTGTTTGTGCAAAAAACATGCACTCCCCGGGCCCTTCCCGGCCCAGGAACCCCTACCTTCATCCGCTCATCGGCATTCACTTTGCTGCCCTGGATCAGCTCGATGCAGAAAGGCTGTTCCAGGGACCACAGGGACACGGAGACGGGCTGGGCGGGGTGGAGGGGAGAAGCGGGGGCGTTAAAGCAGGGGAATTCAGGGGAGGCTTGCGCTCCCGGCTGCTGCCAGGGTGCGTGGCCACCGCGGCGGCAAGGGTGTTGCAGATTCCTGCCCGCAACGCCATCCTTTACCAGAAAACCTGCCGTGCAGGCGCCCCAGGGGGCCCAAGACCCCCCCGAGCGCTGCAGGGCATGGAGTTCTGCCTACAGCACGGGAGACAGGAGGGGCAGGCGGCCAAGCGCCAGGCCTAGAGGCTGCCCCAGGAGTCCAGACAGGAGTCCACCCCAGCCCAGAGGCCCAACTCTCAACCCCGAGCAACCAGAAGGCATGAGACAAGGGCCCCCTGGACCTATGGCTGGTCCAGGGCGATGCCCAGTAGGCGCCTGGGCTGGACCTCAAGTGGGAAGGAGGGCTGCAGGGGAGGGTAAGTGCAGGGCACCAGCTCACCTTCTTCAGAGGAATGGGGGGCGGTTTGGCGCGTGGCTTTTGGACTTGGGGGGCGGGGTTGCTCTGCTCGTCCCGCATGGCGAGGATGGAAGAGGAGTGCACCATGGTCAGGTGGGGGGTCAGCCTGCTGTGCAGGCAGCTGCAGATGTACTGAGATGGGGGGTGGGGTGAGTGGCTCCACTGTTCCCTGGACGACTGGCTACCCAGGGATGCCCCATGCTGGCCCCTGCCCACGCCAGGCCTTCTGGGGCCTCTCCTGCTGGCCCTTCCTGCCCCCGCCCACCTCCCTGTGCTCACGGGGAGAGCCAGCCCAGCAAGGGCGCACTCTCACCGTGACCCCCAAGGTCTGGCTTGTCGGGCTCGAGAGGGGCCGAGGACCAGCTCCCGCCCCCCCGCCGCCCCAACCCAGGCCCCAGGCCAGGACTGCAGGGAACCCAGGAACCCCTCCCGGACCCCAGGCCTCACCTGGAACTGGCAGAGGGGGTGGCTGCCGTACAGGTACTCGTGCTTCCCGTTCACCTGTAGTGTGTAGTCCTCGGGCTGCTCTACCAGCGGCTGCCGGAACACCGTGGCCTTCTTCCGGAGTGCGCAGGCCATCAGTGCCAGGGGCACATCCTTGGTGGACACCTGGAAGGTGAAGCTCTCCTAGGGGGAGGAGGGAGGGTCAGTCCTCCACGCCTGCGAAGAGCCCATGGGGTTCTGGGGCACAGGGGGTGGGCTGGCCCGTCTGCAAGTATTAGGCGCCCCCTGACCCCTGAATGTGAGCTCCACGACGGCAGGCTCTGATGATGGCACGTGGCCGACACCAGGAAATACCTGTTGGATGCGTGAGTGGACCGAGGACCAAAGCCTCTTGGTCACTCTGCCTTGTGGAACTCGCCGGTGGGACGTTTGGCCAAGCCCCTCGTATGCAATGGATACCCTACAAATACCACCCGATGTTGCTGGGAGGAGGATGGACTGGGGAGGCTGGTGGGTGACCGGGAGTCTCACAGGGGAAGTGTCCCCCGTGGACATGGCAGCCTGCATGCAGCACACGGGCCGGCGTGAGCCACCGCTCACCTCGCTGCCCTCGAACTTGACGTTGACGAGCAGGGCCCGGTTGGGGACGCGCAGGGTGCCCGGCCCCCAGCTCCGCGCTGAGGGCTCCAGCTGCAGGGGGAAGCTGTACTGCAGCCAGGCCTCCCAGCCCAGCTGCTGCCGGTGCGCGGCCACCTCCTCGCAGAACTGGCGCATCTTGGCTCGGAAGTCATTCACCTCCGGGTCTTGCAAGGAGTCAAACTCGTGGAGGCCTGAGGGGCAGGGGAGCCGGGTCAGCGTGGGGCTCGGGGGCGGGGCGGGGCGGGGGCGGGGGGCAGGCCCAGCGGAGGTGCGACGGCCTGGCCTCGGCAGGGCACCTTTGCCGATCAGCAAGCTGATCTGCGAGTTGATGAGCTTCTTCACCCGGTCACCCTCGCGGGCCACCAGGCGCAGGACGGGCAGGAAGGGCTGGATGTCGCATAGCCGCCGCTGCTCGTCCTCCAGCTCCTGCTGCTCCGCGGTCTGGTTGACGCAGGTGAACACGTAGGCCTCGGGGTCACTGAGCATGTGGAACAGCGGCTCATACTGGGCTCGGTGCCACAACACCTGGAAGGGAAGTGGCCGGTCAGCTCCTCCCCTACGGTGGGCGGGGCCCCAGGGAGCCGGGAGGCGGGTGGAGGCTGGTCTTACGACCCTGACAAGGGGGCAAAGGCAAGATCCCAGGACCACTACTCTCTCCGTCCCTTGAGCATTGACCACAGGGTCACCGGGAGTCGCCGTCCCTGCCCTTCTACGAACAGGGCCAGGTAGGTTCTAAACCTGGAGCAGAGCGGTGGGTCCTAAGGTTTCCCCTGTAGGCTACCCTGAGAGATGGCCATCCAGACTTGACCTCCAGGCACACAGCTAATCGTTCCTGGTTCATCACCCTGGTCTTTAAATGATGGCAAGTAATTCAGAAAAGTTTCACACACCGAGGGGGCCATAAACGCCTCTGCGGGCTGTGTCCAGTATGTGGCCTTGGGGTGAGGAGTCCCCAGGGATCACAGGAGCGCCACTGGGGCACCAAGTGTTAGTGCAAAGGTGCTCACCGCTGAGTCACAGAGAAGATGGAAAAGGAGAGAACAGCTCTATTTTTCTTCCACGGGGGATGGATAATTACGGTCCATCAATGCAAACGGATAGCACAGGCGTGTGACCCAGAATCTAAGGATACCTGTACCAATGCACACAGGGCTCCCACATACAGCATTAAGTGGGAAAAGACCCCAAGCTATAGAACAGCAGTTGTAATTCAAGCTCATTCCCATAAAAACGATGATAAACGTATTAACTACTGCAAGCTACAGTCTGCCAAGTTACTGGAAGACAGACGCACCCGTTCACTTACACACCGTCTATGGCTGCTTCAG